TAACATGAGGCATCCATATACAAAGTATGAAGCATCCAGGTCTTCCACCTTCTAAAAAATAAAGCTTTTAAGAAGTTAGCTAACGCCGCCGCCACATCACTATCCCCATGTCGAGCTTTCTGCAACAAAAGTCGCAGGCTCGACAAAAACTGGAAAATCCCCCCTCTTTTAATGAATAAAACCCAATAACTCAGAAATGTAAAATCTAAAATTTATAAAATTCTAAAGGGAGCTTACGGATTGACAATTTAGTCTTAGATGCAAGATTTTTTTATCAGTTGTTAGTGGCTTTGAACTAGCTGTCAGTAACTTTGAGTACTCTTAGATCTGTACTTAGTGTCTTTTTGTTGTTTGGATGTACAACTACCCAACCACGTCCACTTGTATTTGTATTTATCCATCTGAAAAGTTAAGCCTCTTTCAACTGATTTTTATAGTTCGTTCTTATATTGTACTGTTACACCACTGTCCCAGGTTAGGGGGAGGGTTGGCGCGCCTTCAAACTAGTTTAACCCCGACACATTCTGTATGTACATGTATGTGCCTGTCCCAAGTCAGGAGCCTTGTTTAAATTGTTTTACATTGTCATTTCGGGGCCTTTTATAGCTGACTGTGCGGTATGGGCTTTGTTCATTGTTGAAGGCCGTACTGTGACCTATAGCTGTTAATTTCTGTCATATTTGGTCTCTTGTGGAGAGTTGTCTCATTGGCAATCATACCACATCTTCTTTTTTTATATTTACATCAACAGATATAAACAATTCACCAAAGTCAAGGTGAGACAACAAAACTTAGTGGGAAGATCTCTGAAATGTTTTACACGGTACAATTTTTTCTCATTGTTGGAGATTGTACGGTGACAGTAACACCTGTAACTGCTTAAACCCATTTCTTATGCACTTTAGTTCGATAAACTCACTGAATATCATACCACATCTCCATTATTTTCATATGCATTACAATTTACATGTGCATGTAATTATAAATATATATATATCAGAACAAAATTCATTGCGTCACTTTTATTTATGCATCCTTTGGCACAATACAAGTTCTAAAATTACACAACATCATGAACATAGTACAACTAAATGTTATTTCAGATGAAAGTTTTGTTTCAGTTCCATTCATAGGATTTATTAGAATTTTGTATGTTTTGCCAAGTCCAATAATTCGCTCTATGTGCACATGTTAATTGAAGACTTTTCTATCCTGTATAAGAGTTTTGGAACTAATTCTGTTTCTTTTTTTTAAAAAAGTTAGCAAACAAATCTTGCACATTTAAACCTTTGTCTGCCATCACACGGTCACCTGGATCACATAATTGAACTATTCTACATCTTTCAACTATTTCATAGTCACTGGTAGAACCAACATATGCATTAGAGACATAGTTGACTAAACCAACAGGTGTCGAACATACAAGTATTTTCAGTGTTTCTGTTTTTATATGATGAAAAAGTTGCCTGAGCTCTAGGAGCTTTAGGTTTTATCACGGGATATTCTGTGCTGTCAATAATAATCCAAGTCGTAGGAAACTTTAATTTGAAGTTGGATGGTGAAAAATACCTGACTAAACCACTAGATGGCCAAGTGTTAGCCTCACACCACTGTTTAGACATAAAAACAATCCATGTATACACAATATTCTTAACACTAGATTCAATCTAGAATCTAGAAAGTTCAAAATTGGTTGTATAATGCCTCAATTTCATCAAAGTCATAAAAAAACTGATTTTCAACTGACACCCTATCAATTTGAAAATATATGTATCTCAAACAATGTGCTGCTGGACCAAGTGTGGTCAAAACAAATAAAAATTTAGTATACAACTCTAAACCGGTATAAAAATGCATGGCTGTGTCACGTGTCTTCATTTCAAAATTCTCTGCTGAAAACATAGGCATTGATGGTGTTTGAATAATTCCATCTGTGAAGCTCAACATTAGCTCGGCAGTTGGTGGTGGCCTGGACAGTCATAAATCCTTTCTGCAGTATGAATGACTTCTTCAGGAAAACCAACTTTACAATCAAAACTTTCCTCTAGATTTCTACTACAATATTCATCAAGTTTAGTTCTTTTGTTTTCACAGGAAACTGCCCTGATTTTTCTTTTTGCGGACGATTCAGTCTCTTGCTTGGTCCAGGAAAATAGGCTGGGAATGGCAGTAGACTTAAGTCTCTGAATGGTGGGTTTGCGCCCTGAAAAAGGTTATAAAACATTAGTTTTTTGATAATTAAATGAACTTCCATTAGCAATGTATACTTTGTATTACCTGGTGAAATATTAACTAGATTTATTCATTACAATCTGGATAAAACTGTGTTTGCCTGATTCAATGTATGTTATGTAAATCCAAAGGACAAACAATGAGAGACTTATGCAACAAACGTACATTGTTTGTACCTAAATAACTATAATATAGATGAGAGCATGTCATTGTTTTGTTCCTGTTAACATTGTCATTGATATTTTTCAAGAAAGTCTATGAGGCATAGCTTATGCATTCCTGTCATTACTACATTAGCATAATTACTGCTAAAATAATTCTCAGTATGATATACCTCTTGTAAGAAATCATTATAATTGTAGCAATCACCAAAAAATCTCAAACAGATCACATTGAATCGTAATCCAAAAAATTATGACGTCTTGAATTAACCACCCCCTTTTATTCTAAAACGATAATTGCGGTTGTAAACAGACTTTGGTTTATTCGCATGGCTATTACATATATAACTATATATTTCAAAAAGAAAATAGAGTTTTACCATGAATAGTTTCCTGCACGTAGTCTTTTTCAGTAAAATGTGCCTTGCAAACAACAGCTGATTGAGATGGACTCCACGATTTCATCGTGTTCTCGTCCAATCTGCGTATGGGCCATGGCGTTGATCCAACTTTTCCTTCTTTTTAAGTCATTTGGAAATGCATGTCCTCCTCTTAAATGACATCCAGGTACACAACAACGAGTACTTGGCATCGTTAATTAAAAATGTAACTGAAATAGTTGCACAGTGCAGAAACCGGAAGTTGCGGAACAGGATCGGCTACCACGGCGCCATCTATTCAGGAACGATAATTTGCTACTTTATATAACTGCGAAATAACAATAACGTTATACGGGTTCACGTGCATAAACAGAAATGCGCTTTAAATTGTATAATATAATTCATGTTCAGTCGACCTTTAATTATTATATCAACGACTGAAATGATTTATAAACATATCGATTGCAGATAACACTCGAAATTAACCCGAGCTCTTTCCACACGGAATTCAAATAATTCTAGTTTGTCAATCGGTTGACTGCTTATAATGCAAAATACAAATATATCAAAAGTTTTTAAAACTAACAAAACACAATGATCGTTTCTCTATTTCCCAATGTAAATGAAATGAAACAAAAAACATTTTATATCACAATAAGAAGAGGAGAGAATTCAACAGTTCCGGATCTACTTGGAGCCTAACGACCCCCCACGTAGATTAGTTGGGTATCGCGGAAGGAAGGATTAACCCGGCAACTAGAAAGGCATTAAAGCACTGCCTTTAAAAACAAATAAATCTTGCAAATATGCATAGCCAATCTGAACTTTAAGGAAAACCTGAGCCTAACCATTTTTCATTTCAATTTTTACCACTAAAACAAGAAAGTCTTATAATCTTCATATATTAATTTTTCTCAATCGGCTTTTACACTTTATCAAGAATAATTAAACACCACCATTCTATTTTGATATTATAAATTACTATAAATATATAGTAATATTTTGAATACAAATTTGAAACTTTATTCTAATTCATGAGGTAACTGCATATATATATATGGTTTTCTTATTTTTCTATATTTCTTATAAGGGATTGGAAATTCTAGAGCTTTGTTTCATTTAACTTCTTTATATAAAGTTAAGCCATAAACAGAGATTCATAATAGTAAGGATACAATAGGAGGGGAACAGTTCTAAAAGACAAACCATTTGACTGTAAACTTCATCTCCAAAACAAAAAATGACTAATGGGTTTAATAGTTTCTTTGCATATCCAATCGGTGTAAAATTTGTAAAGTTTATTACTGGATAAGGACTATGGTAGATACAGAATGTCTCAGATTTATCTAAAGACCATTCTAATACACAAGAAAACATAAGAACAGAATAATTGAAGTTAAAGATTTACTGAATGCAAATATAGTAATATATTTGTACAGTTTCTTGTGTTATTTAAAAAGCAACACACATTGGTAACCAGGTTGTTTAATAAAAGTAAGAAGATCTGGTATGATTGCCAATGAGACAACTATCCACCAGAGACCAAAGAACGAGGATGTATGTTCAGACACAAGTTCATCAACAATCTTTTTTTTCAGTTAAAATATGTAATTGTCAAATATTGGCAGAACTGCTGGTGCCTTGCTAGTTGGTACAAACACAAATTGTTTTCCCAGAATATTCAATTGTTTTTCCTGTCTGGTCATGAATTTTTATCTAATGTCAATTGCATATCACATTACATTGAATAAGCCATACATTTATAATATGCTAAACAAATCAAATAAGCCTTTCATTCATCATATGTAATATATAAACTTAGAAATAAGCCATGAATTTATAATATAATATGGCACAATTATGTAAATACTTTTATAAACTGTCAAATAGTTCTGACTAAAAAAGGACATTGGACATAAAAATCTATAAAGGGCATTAACCTATGTTGAAATATAACTTTGTTCATGGACATGGTGATATGTTTCTATGATCTTTGGTAATTAGCTGTCTACATGGAAGTCACAAAACATCTAGTATAGGCATTAAAATTACAAAATCTCAATTTTAAAATTCAAAATTGATTCAGTATGGAGGAAAATTAGGAATACATACAATCATAAAAGTTGTATAAGCATAACATTAATCAATGCTCACCAGGGAAATATCACATAGTATCTATAGTAAAATGAAATGGAACAAAATATGGTAACAGTAAAGGGATCATTACCTTGTCTCTTCATCTTCAGATGGTGCGCCTGATTTGTCTGAAATAAAAACTCAAAAGTCAGACAATAGATTTAATAATTTGACAAAGAAATGATTTATTTACATCAACCCTAAATAGAAATACAGGATTGAATACAGACAGATTTACATGATTAACTACAATGTTATAAGGCATGACAGTAGTCAATATTGATTCTGTGTTTTGTTTTATATCCACTGTCATCTTACGCTTGTAAATTAACCCACGTTAATTATGTCACCTTATGTTATTTTTCTACGGAGTTCCTCTGCCATCTTCCAGTTGTAAATTAACAGAGTACCCCCATTCAAATCATTTTCTTCACTGTTGTTATAAGATTCTACTATAAATCAATTTTTTAAATATAAAAAACAGCAGAACAAAAGGACCTCCCATCATGCATCTTGCTATGAAAATATTGCTGTTAGAGGTCAATCTTAAAGTCCTGATAATGAGTGCAAGTAGTTTTTTATGTCTGGGCCTTTTATAGCTGACTATACAATATGGGTTTTTCTCATTGTTGAAGGCTGTATGGTTGTCTATAATTACTTACATCCACATCATTTTAACTTTGGTGGATAGTTGTCTCATTGGCAATCATACCAATCTCCTTATTTTTATAGTACCACCATTTTAACCACAGTTGGGTAATTCCTTCAAATGACACATGACTGCAACTTCACGATAACCGTAAACTACCTTAAAACAAGAAAGGAAAAGCAAATGACCAGACCAATGTATGGACATACTAACAAACAGACACACAGACCAGAAATATAAATAAAGCCTCCTTCTATCTTAGACAGTTCATAAGAAAATACAGAATCATTAACTATTGAATCAGGATGTAATTTTTATCTTTTATGCATAATTATTTTGTTCTGTGTGCAGAGGTCAAGATTACTTTTCTATATTTTTATCCCTAATAGCCATATTCAGTTTCGGATTGACAAGTAGCAATTTATTCATGACACCCATCAAATAACCATTCCTGTAATTTTTTGTATCACTCAGCCTTGGGCTGTAGAAGATGACAAGTAATTGTATAATTTTCCATACTCAAATATCACTATTGTAACAAATCAGTCAATACTCCTTAAGAATATACTAAATCTGCACAATAAGAATACTAAATATTGTACAACATCTGAAGCCATTAGTGGAACTAAATACTTCAGGATATTATTATTAAAGGGAAAAATTAAATAAATTGAGTGATAATAATGTAATCAATACATGGTCAGGCAATGTAAGGTTATTGTATTTCATGTCTTCAGCCTTCACTCAAATGTACAATATCTCATTTATAAGGTTACAATACAAAAGAAATAAATCAACACTTCACAGTATTCATAATATGTGAATTTTGTCAAGATATCATTAAGGATTTATGACACATCTTGATTTGGCTTATATATAAGTGATGTCATCAGGGAGAATGGTTATATTTTAACCAAACTAGAGGCTCTAAAGAGCTGGTGGCACTCACCTAGGTCTATGTGCATCTTCAACATTGTACACTACTGTTTACAGTTTCTCTCTATCTTATTTAGTTCTAGCCCAAAACAGAAAAGAGGGTAAACAAAATCATCATTTAAGGGCAATCACTCCTATCTAATAACTTTTTTGGCAGAATTTGATCTGATTGTAGATCTTGTTTTGCTGATCACTTTTGTAAATTAAAAGTTTCTATCTATCTTTTATAGTTTTCAAGATAATAGGCAAAAACACCAAAAATTTGGCCAAAATCGTCATTAAAAGGGCAATAATTTCAATAACCAGTCGACTGAAGAATTTGGCTATTAGACTTATTTGTAGACCTTGTCTTGCTGATCACTTATGCTGTTTAAAATTTCTATTTATCTATTGTAGTTTATAAGATTTTTAGGCAAAAATGCAAAAAAAAAATGGTAAACATTGCCATTAAAGGGCAATAACTCTAAGGAGTCGATTGATGATTTGGCTATGTGATTTGTGACTTAATTGAAGATCTTGTCTTGTTGATTAGATTTGCTGTTTAAAGTTTCTCTCTATCTATTATAGTATTCAAGATAATAGGCAAAATGACAAAAAAAAAGTAAAATTCGTCATTTTAGGGCAATAACTCCAATAAGAAATTGTCTGACAGTTTTAAAGTAAAAAGATAATAGGTAGGCCTCAACATTCTGAACATATCTGCCCTGTCAGATTTTCTCTATTTATAGTGGTTTTCAAAATAATAGACAAAACTTACATTTTACCCTTATGTTCCATTTTTTAGCCATGTCGGCCATCTTGGTTGGCAGGTGGGGTCACCTGACACATTTTTTAAAACCTAGATACCTTAATGATGATTGTGGCCAGTTTGGTTAAATTTGGCTCAGTAGTTTCAGAGGAGATGATCTTAGTAAAAGTTAATGGACGACGACGACAGACGAGGATAATTTGACCAAATCAACAGCCAGCACAAGCATGAACTAAAAAGATTTGTTAACAGCTAGAAGATATTATCAAAAAAAATTTATTTACATCTGTATGAGTATATTTTTTTGCAAGAAAGTGTTATACATTATTTCTCATCATTTATGAGTAAAACTATTAATAAAGATTTTATGTTATATAAATCCATTGTCATTCACTACCTATACAACACATAAAAATTGTATATTTATATACAACACATGAAAAGAAAATATTTTCTAACAAAAAAAATAGCAAAATTATTTTGTAGTACAATGTTTATAGATTCAAAATTTAATTTTGCAATTTGGGAAAATTTCTGGACCAATTTTAAGTAAATGACGATTAAGATAAATAACTGAGACATCTTTACAGATGATTAAATGTACTTTTCAATACTGAAATATCACTATTGTTACAGATCAGTCAATACATTAAATCATATACTAAATCTGCACGATAAGAATACTAATGAGATTTTATTGTAGAACATCTGAAGCCATTAGTGGAACTAAATACTTCAGGATATTATTATTGAAGGAAGAAAATTTAATAAATTGAGTGATAATAATGTAATCAATACATGGTCAGGCAATGTAAGGTTATTGTATTTCATGTCTTCAGTCAAATGTGCAATATCTCATTTATAAGGTTACAAAACCAAAGAAATAAATCAACACTTCACAGTATTCATAATATGTGATTTTTGTCACAACAAAGGTTTTTAATATGTAAATGTTGCATTTTAAGATCTATATATCGTTAACAAGCAGATGTGTCAAGAGCACATGCTACACCTGTCTTGTGCATATTAAAATTGTTGCCAGAATAAAAAGAAATAATGGGAAGGCATCTTGTCAGAAGTTAGTAAAATGGCTATGCAGAAAAAAAGTTGCATGAGGATATTCCTGGTGAATGACTGTTGCCTTTAATATGACTTAAAAGGTCTCAAAACTCTGGGACAACAAACTTGAAAATTTTCAAAATCAAAAGCAGGCCTGCATTTACTATTCCCAACAATAGTGTAAAGTTTGTAAAATTGTAATATTTTGATCCAAGCTACTAGAGCTAGTGCATGGCATGTAAAGAATTGCCTTAAACCTGATGGTTCAAGCCTAATAGATCTAGAATAACTATTAAAAGTTTATACTGAATAAATATGCCAATTTGAAGTTTGAGTCAAATTTCATTTTGCTAAATCATACAAGTAATACTGTGTTGATTTCATAGGACATTAAGCTAGTATCACTGTCAGCATGGATTTTAAATTATGTAGTTCTTCAAAACTATTTGACAATTTATAAAGTCACAGAACTTTAAAAACCACCAGACAAAGGATATAACACAGTAATTTCCAGGGTATTTAACCACTAGACAAAAGGATATAACACAATAATTTTCATGGTATTATTGACTATTTTCTTCTTAGAATTGATAACACGGACCAATTTAGTAAATCTTCAGACAATGTGCTCAGATATCAAAGTGAATTTGAAACCATATAAAGAAGCAACAGACTGTAATTATATCATATTGGAACAAAACCATTTTTTTCCCTTTTAAACAACTTAAAGAACTAAGCCTTAAAAAGAATCAATGAAATGTCAACTAGTCGCAAATAAAACAATTTATCTAATACAGTATAATGCTCTCAGGCTGTCATAAGAACTATAATGGTCTAATCAATTCAGACAACTTACTCCCCAGAGTGTCAACGTATCTAGTTAGAAACTCAACTGATTAATATCCTACTTAGAAAATAAGAATGAACAAAAACATTAATCTGAAAATACTACAGACTTTGCAACATAGTCACCAACCATGTGTTGCTTTTTCAAGAATAATTAAGTACCGGAGATTTTTATTAACTTTTTTTACTTTGGGAGGAATCATAGTAACCTGAAAAGTTGAACAGAACCACATTAAAATACATGTGAATTTTCCATACTGGATTTTTGAACTTAATCAAGAATAAAACTATAAAAAGACAACAACATCCTGGATTACTGCAAGGAAATGCTTTATTCTGGTCTACATGTTTGTCACTTACAGTGTGGTATCTTCAGGAAAATTTTTGATAATAGGAAATAAATACTGAAGTTCATAAAATGAGGTTCATGTGGGGCCACAAAAAGGTTAACAAGACCTTACGTCACAATTATTGGTTTAAAGACGTTAAAATGAAAGTGAAAGTAAAAGTCAATAATGAATGGTCAGTATCTTTTCCAAAATGGACAACCTCTCACTGAACATTCTGTACCATTTCAACTGGCTTCACTCTAAGTGAAGTACTGTTTCCAATTGCGTTGGGAATATTGTGAGATGTATGGTAGTCGCACATGTAGGGCATTGATCAAGAATAGTCAAATATAATCAACCAATTTACATAATAGTATTGAGCTTTGTAAACAAACTAATAAATAAATGCAAAGATATGGTTATTTTCTGTTTCTCAAAAGAGCACAGGGAATATCAGGCCATTACAACTGAACACATACAATATGTACTGTTAGAACAGCTCACAATATATTCATATCTTTGGAATCAATAAAACCATTTCAACACCTGATGTCACAGAAA